AGAACGAGCAATTGTCATTAGTTATTTATTAATTGCTTATTAAGGTCGTTATGTATGTTCTCTTTGTTTCCAGCCTACTTTTTTCATGGCTTGGGCTGCTGCCAGGTTTGTGAAGAGGGGGATCAGTCCCTTGGTGGAGCTGTGCTGAACATGGGAAGGGGGTGGTGGTGCCGACCCAGGGTCCAGGCAGCCCTGGGAACCAGGATAGGCACCCACAAGGGGTTTGTGTACAAACCTTTGTGACTGAGCAGGCTCTGAGGCTGTGTCTGCCCTTCCTCACACCTTTGGACAGGCTCAAAACAGCTCCTGATATGATGGAAGGATGATATGAAGGAAGGATGAAATGATGGAAGTGTGATATGACAGAAAGACAAAGCCCTCTCTGCTTTTCTCTTAACTATAATTGTGTTAGAGCGACACAAACTGATTTAAAAGCCCATTATAATACACCTGTAATTGAAGGCACAGGGCTCTCAATTTGCTCCCTGAAGGCAGAAGGCTTTGGAACACAAAAGAGAGAGGAGGCACCATGGAGGTGCCTGGCACTGTGGCAGCCAGCACTGCACCTTCTCCTGACCTGGCAGCTACAAAGCGCTCTGGTTACACTCTGGAGGAGCCCTGGAGCTGGACATTGGGTCCCTGCCTTTGGCAGCCCCTCAGGTGCCTGAGGATGGGCTCAGTTTGACTCAGCATTGCTGTGAGCAGGGATAGGACACCCAGGACTCCCCCTCACCCAATCCTAGTGGCAGGACCCATGGCAGCAAACTCTGTAAAACACAGGGCAGGGAAGTCTGAGTGTGACAGCAGTGAGAAGCTGTAAGAAGCTGTTATGAGGAGCAGGAGCAGCGTCAGGCTGATGCTCAGGAAGCTGCCAGTGCACATCACAGATCGCCTGCAGAACGCTAGTCTGACTCTCCCTCTTTTTCTTTCTTCCAGACACTTTTATAGTTGTTCTTTGTTGTTTCCTTTGATCTGGAGCAGATGTTACTCGTGCTGGAAGATGGAGGTTTGCATGTTTTATGAAAGGGAAGCAGGGCTGGGCTTACCAGGACAGCCACTCTCTCCCAGGCTGTGCCAGGGCCTGAGACCCCTTGGCTGGGGCAAACACCTGCTCTGCCTCACTCCCACACCAGAAGGGGTTTGCCTGTCTGCAAAGGTCACAACTGTGCTTCTGCATTACTTTCTTGGCTTCCAAAACTGCGTAGAAAGGGGGTGCTTAAGCCAAAACGTGCAATTGCTCCTTGAAGAAGGAATAGGCAACTTGATTTGAAGTTCCATTGCCAGTCTGAGGTGGAGAGGTTGTTCCAGATGCACCTTCCACTCAGCCTGATGCGTGGCTGAAATTTGGGGTGCTGGGGTGAGGGAGCCAGAGATGGGGGCAGGGGCTCAGGGGGAGGACAGCCCAGGCAAGCAGCACAGTTAGCACATGCCAGGAAGGTGGGTGGGGAGCTGATGATGATGGAAATGGAGGTGGCAGGGCCCAAGCAAGGAAGCAAAGCTGGTGATGTTTATACAGTTTGGGATGAGCTGTAAAAGGCAGCTGGAGCAATAATCAGGGAAGGCCTCAGTGCTGCAGTGGGTGCCGTGGGAGAGGCAGCAGAGGAGGTGGCAGAAATGCCTGGGGAGTCCCACCACATTCCCAGGATGTGAAGATCTGTGTGCAGCACTGCTGCGGGATGCAGGCACGGGATCTGTGAGCTGCACACCTGTGCTGGCAGGGGCGGGTGTTTGGAGGTGGAAGCAGAGCAGGGATGTCGTCTGTGCCAGTGGCAGGAGGGTGTCTGTGCGCCAGGGAATGGATGTGTGTCGGCAGGCACATATGCTTGGATCCAGAAAGACATCTATCACCTGCCTGAGCACCCTCAAACGTGCAGCTCACCATATGCTTTGGTTAAATATTTAAGCAAGCTGCTTTCTGTCCTGGGGACTCCTTGTGTGCACCACATTGGGGCGAGCTGGGGGCGTGCCCAGGGCACCTGCAGGGGGCTGAGAGCACCCAGAGACCTCCCCCAGAACCGTGGTGAAGATGGAGGGGGAAAAAAGAAAGAGTTGGATCAATAAAGCACCAGCCTGCCTGTGGGGAAATCTGTGCAGTGTCACCGGAGCAGCTTGGCCAACACTGCCATGTTTAATCACTTCCGAGCAAGAGAGATGCTGAACACAAAAGGACTGCCTGCAAGGAGAGGGTTCCCGCCTGGGAAGCCTGCATTTACTTAGCTTTATTTATTTATTCATTCCCAAAGGGGCACAGCTCCATCTGCGTCCTGCTTTCGGCACAGGAAATGTCTCCTCTGCCCCACTGCTGCAGAAATGCCAAGTGCTGGTGAAAGTCCTTTAATGCAGAGGGAATGGAAGCGCCAGTGACTGTTAAATAATATTAAATATATACTTGGATCATTTATTTATTAAGATTTCCCTCCCTAGTCTGGTAAAAGCCTTACAAAACACCTGTTGTGTCTCTAGAAAGGCATTTGGAATAGTTTGTGCAGTAAAATATTCAAATATTTAATTAGCATACAATAACCACCGTGTTAAATCCTACCACTGCATAGACAATTCCAGACTTAGTTAACAGCTTCAGTGACGTTTCTCTGGTTTGCTTCCCAGATGTTCTTGCCTCCTCTCATTCCAGATGGGCCACAGTAAATTGCATCTCCCTCGAAGTGTCCTGAGCTTGCCAGAGTATGGTGAACTTTTGCCCTGTTGCATGAGCAGTTTGAGCTGCTTTTTATAGAATTATGGAAAGGTTAGAGTTTAAAGGGACCTTAAAGACCCTCTAGTTCCATCCCCTGCTGTGGGCAGGGACACCTTCCACTATCCCAAGCTGCTCCAAGCCCTGTCTAGCCTGAGCCTGGCCTTGAACAGTTCCAAGGATGGGGCAGCCCCAGCTTCTCTGGGCAACCTTGGCCAGGGTCTCACTACACTCATTGCAAAAAAACTTATACCTGTTCTAAATCAACCCTCCTCAGGTTAAAGGCGCTCCCCTTTGTCCTATCAGTCAAAGCCAAGTTTAAATTGTTTTAATTATGTTTTATAACCTGGTCAGTTGATTTTTGTCTCTTGCCTGGGTGGGTGCAAATAGGTCTGTGCAGTCCCAGAGTAGCAGTGTAAAGTCTGACTTGCTTTTTTTAAAGCCTCTGCAAAACAAGCTGAATTGGGTCGATGTGGATTCAGCAGTTAAAAACATCAGAAAGGTTCCTCTGTGATGCAGCAAACAGCACATTAAAGATGATGGATATTGCTTTTGTTGTTTTGGGACTTAGAGCTGGAAGCTCTTGCTGTTTGCCAGGCAAAGGTGGGCGATCACTGCGCCTCCACTTGGCTCTTCCCACCTCTCCAAAATGACCATGGTAGTACCCCCTGGGCCTGTTTTTGTTGTGGAGACCACTCACTCTGTGTTTTTAGAGCACACATGGATTTCCTGGCTGGCAGTCCCAGCCTCACCAGGAGCACAGTGGAGCAATCATAACGATGTTGTAATTAATTGCATCTCCTCAATGGACCTGGCCATGGGCAGAGCACTCCCAGCTCTGAGTGGTCCCATGAGGAATGTGCTGTCCCCTTAGTGACACTGAAGCATATTAATATTTTTTAGGTGCTGTCTTTGTGCCCTCCACTGTCCTGCCCCAGAGCCCCCTCTGTTTGGGAGCAGCTGATCCAGGGCTGCTCTCCAGTGCATGATTAGCAGATTAGCCATCATGCCCAGAGCAGCAAAAAAATGAACTCCCAGAAGCCCTTCAAAACAGAGAATAATTCATTACCCACCTTGATTTCCACTTAAAATGTACTTTAACTACACTTCCAACTACAAACCCTAAATCACCATCATGTTCACAAAAAATCCATCATTTTTTATTTTATTGCACGGCACTGGCATGACATAATCCCTTCCAGAGCGTCTTGGAGTGCTTTACGGATCAATAAATTACTTACCTGCACAGCAGAGGCATTGCGTGCAAGGCCATTGCAGTCATTCCGGCTTGGCGCAGCCCAGGAAGGGGTGGGAGGTGGGGAGAGGCAGGGAAGGGAGCCCCAGGAGCGGGGTCCAAGTCAGGATTTGGGGTGTTGGGCTGCAGCCCCGAGTGGGGCGATGAATCTGGCTCTCCCAGCAAGGGTGGAAGGTGTGGGTGATTTGTGGCTCTCCTGCAAAGCGCTGCAGCAGGGTGCCAGTGCCTGCTAGGCTCTGGAGAAAGTCTGGAAATAAACCTGAGAACGTGACAGTCTTTATTATATTCTGCAGGTGCAGGCTGATAACAGCAGCTGATGCTTTTCCCTCCTACATCCCCACCAGAAGATCTCCCAGCCCTCCCCAGCAGCCGCATCGTGTCCTCTGCTCATGCAGCAGCAGGAGCTGGGTGCTCCCTGCTTGCTCCCCATCCCTTCCCAGCCCCCTTCTCATCACCCCCATCATACACCTGTGTCCCCTCCTGGGACCTGGACCCCCTGTATCTGACTCACTCCTGCATGCTCTGGGTGGCAGTGCCAATGCAGGGGGATGATTTTCATCCCTGCACCTTTGCAGGGTGGTCGACCTCAGAGGCTCCTCAGCAGATTCTCTCTTCATGCCCAGCTCCTCTTGGTGCTCCTGTGCTTACAAGGGCCTGGCAAAGAGGAAAAGCTGCAGGAGTTTGAAGGGGATGATTCGTGTTTCCTCAGGATGATGCAGCTCTGCTGGGAAGGGTTTGTCGTGTCTAGGAGGACACAAGGAGTGCTGGAAGTGGGGTAGGAAGAAGTACTGTCTCACACCACGGAGGAGTTTCTCGAGCCTCCCTAAAATGACTGAATCCCCTCTGGCTACAGTTTCTTCCCACTTCAGCTGTGTCTTCTCTGCCCCCTCTTTTCCCTGTTTCTTCCTGCCAAGTCAGATGAGACTGATGGGCTACTGCAAAAATTGTCAAAGCTGAGGGAGGATGGAAATTCAGCCTCCTTCACCCACAGTCTAAGATTTGAGTTGAAGCAGAACCAGTTTCATTTTCCTTCTCCTCTTTGCATCATTGCAGTGTCTCCAAAAATCACCGAGATCTCTTCTGACATCTCCATCAACGAGGGCGGCAACGTCAGCCTCACCTGCATAGCCACGGGCAGGCCAGACCCAACAATCACCTGGAGACACATCTCACCCAAAGGTAAGAACCAAACATTGTCTGAAATATTTTGGGAAGGGCACAGGACTCTTTGTGAGTGGCTGGGGAGGGGTCGGTGGCTCCTTGTGTTGCCAGGAGAAGGTGAAATGCACCAAAAAGATGTGACTCAACACAGGACTTGGTGACTTTGGTGGAGGAACATCCATCCTGGTGGTCTGAAAGAGGAGCTGATGGTTTTGGTCCTGTGGAAGACTGGCTGTAGGTGCCAGGTTGGGGTTGTTGTGCTCAGAGGTTTATAGAATCAGGGAATAGTCTCTGTTGGAAGGGACACACAAGGATCATGGAGCTCCTGCATGGGGCACTCGCATTGCACATTGAACGTGCTTGTCTGGCCATGTTTTGAAAATTTTTCAGGCAATTCTTACAGGTTGCTTCAAAGGAGGATTGTAAATAGTGCAAATGAGCAGGAAAACACATGAAGCATTAATTGGTGGCCTTGTTAATTGGTAAGCAAACCCTCAGCAGAACTGTGTGGGTGTGACTGCTGGGAAGCAAATTCCCAGGCGTGCAGGACCGTATAATTTCAACCCCCTTTCCCAGCTGCTTTTTGGCACTTGTTTTGCGTTTTGCTGCCCTGTTATTCCCAGGCAGTTGCGAGGCTCTCATGGGTGAGCCGGGGGTGAGATCCGGAGGCTCCGGCTGGGATGAGCCGCGCGGCCAAGCGGCAACGCCTGCCTCTGATCCTCTGATCCTGTCTAAGCACTTCAGTTCCGCCTCAGAGTCCTGTTTCCCCTGGGGTTTTACCAACGTGGGCTGTTGTTCCAGACAACTGCCTCAAGCTCTCCTTGGGGACACCCGGCCAGGCTGTCCGGCAGCCGAAGGAGCCGGCGCAGGGGCGGCAGTGGCGGATGGCACCGTGGCTGCTCTCCCTGCCCAGCTCCTGATGAGGGCTGCGGTGTCTCATTGCAGCTCCATTGATTTTTTGCTATTTGTCTGTGCTGGAGGGAATGGCTGGGCCAGATCCATCACTCTGCAAAGCCCAGGCTGAGCAAGCTGAGTTGGTGGCATCTCAGCCCATTCCCTTGACAGGAGCCTCTACAAACCATTCCCCCAGAGCACATCTTGGCTTATCCACTGTAGGTGGGCTTGCTTCTGGGCTGGTGGTTTTGGTCAGGGTCTTTGTATGGATCATGTGCTCCTCCCCATCCCTGAGCGTCTCTCTATGGAATCAAAGTTGCTGTCACATTTATGGTGGAGGTCCATGTGTTCCCACCTTGAAGCCTCTTCTTCCTACTCTTCCCCTTGTCTACCTTGACAACATATTTTTGTTTTGCTCAGCCTCCTCAGTACCTGTTTTTCACAAGCATCTTGTTTTCCCACAGCCCTTCTCTCCTTCCTACATCCCCTCCTGCTCCCCAGAACCCTTGTCTCCCACTCTTGTGCCCCTTGCTGCCTTCTCCCACATGCCATCCATCCTGTCCTAACCAGGCTCCCAGCTCCTGATGCCTCTGTCTTTCACAAGGGCTATTTTCTGTGTTTGCTGCCATCCAGCAGGTTTTTTTCCCCAGGGAATCTTTACATGCGCTTGAACCAGATGTTTCCATTTTACTTAGGACTTAGCTGCTATGGAAACTGAGGATGCACCAGGAGAGGAAGAGTGAGCTAATCAGAAATTACCTGTGGCGCTGTGTAATTTGCAGCAGCAGCTCTTTCCTGATTTTGGCCATGATTAGGCATTCTGCTTTCAAAACTCAAAGGGAACAAATGATCACAGAGATTTACCAGAGCCTGGTCTCCTGCTGATGGAGGGTGATGAGCCCAGAGGTGGCCCAGGACAACTTCCATGGCTGCCCATCTCCGTGGGCAGCTCCTCTGTTTCTAGGTCTGCCAAGGCACCAAGGGGAACCTCTACTTCTCCATTTTGCATTCACCACACACAGCAAAGATGAAGATTGGGAGTGTGAGGACTGAAATGAGAGCCAGAGAAAATGCATAGAGGTGCTATAGCAGATCAGGGATGTAGGATACATTCTAATTCAGAGTGCCAGGGCCAAGCAAAACCCAAAGCTTGCTGCTGGCCCCTCTTGGTTGTTCTACTCATCCCATGGGAAGTCTCGAGCGAACTGCCTCCTGTTCCTTCTCACCATCTCCCTCCATCTCTCTTGAAGTGGTGGAGAAAAGGGACAAGGGAGAATTGTTTGAGAGAATGCTGGTGCATAATTTAAGGGTTCCCACAGTGAGTGGGGAAGTGGCTCTCAGCAGTGCTGCTTGGCACAGGCTGTGTGTGCCAGGCACGGCCCCACCAGGAGCTGTCCCCGAGCTGACACTGGTGAGTGCTGCTCTGTGCAAAGGCACTTCACAGGTTTTATGATTTCCTTGGCACCTGCGGGCACACAGTGCACCTGTTGGTGGGAAATGGAGCAAATAAGAGTGTTTGCTCACCAGGGAGTGCAGGGGAAGGCCTTTCAGAGGATACACACCAAGAGCAGCCTGGCTCCCTGGTGACTGATCTCACTTGAGACCCTGTGCCAGCCACTCCAGGCTCCTCTGACTGCTTGGCTGTTCTGTCTCTGCTCCAATGAATTTGCATTCAGTGGCTTGGGCTGGTAAACTCTGCTGAATTTGCCTGCCTGCAGCTGTTGCCATGATCTAGGAGTTGTGAAACCCATTTTGGAAGCTCTCTTTGGTTTGGGGGCTGGAGGAGTTCCTGCAGCTGGGATGAGGAGATCAAGTTCACAGTGTAACTCAAGAGCTTAGTGGACCTGAGCAAGAGAGTTTTCTGCTTCTGATTTTGAGAAATGCAGGTGTGTTGGTCTTGTTGGTGCCTCCATTAGTTCTCACACCTTGGTCCTACCTGTGCCCATCCTCATCCTCCTGCATGAACAGAATCAGGCTGCTGGCTCTGGAGAAGTGTTTTGTGAGCCTGTGGCCAGTCCAAATAAGGTGTGATAAAGCCTGTCTTCTGTCCCTCTGCCTTACTTCTCTCTGTCTTATTTTATTTCTCCTCCCAGTAATGCTGTATTAACTCACAGCAACTCCTGTTAATGCAGCTGAACAGATTGAGGTGGAAAAAGAAGTGAAGCTTCTGGAGTCACAGCTTCTTCTGCCTCAGCTGAGGAGGCTTAACAGCTTAGAGGCTTTGTCCTGGGCTTGGATGCTCCAGCTGGCATCACAAGTACCAGCAGAGCTGCCAGGCACTGGGGCTTCAAAACTCAGCCTTGTGAAACTGCTGTGAGGTGCCAAGATCTGGCATGGGATGGGGCAGCTCCATCCCTTCTTGGTACCCCCGTGGGGCCCAGGCCCTTGGGATGGCAATTAAGAGAGGCACCTTGGGGGTGAAGGGACAGAGCAAAAGAGGCAAAGAGGGAGAGAATGATGTAGATAACAGTGGCCTGGATGTAACACCTGGCATGAAGGCAGCAGCATGTGCCCAGGGGAGCTAGAAGTTGCACAGACTTGGACTCAGGAGTCTGAAAGGCAATGCTCTGTGTGCCCATAAACGCCCATTTTGCACCCTTAGGTGCAGAGCACGTTGTGTTTCTGAGTCTTTGGCTGGATTACAGCCCCAGCCTCGCGGTGCCGACGCTGTCTGTAAACTGCAGCGAGGTCTTCTGGTTAATAGCCTGGTTTTGGTCACTCAGGTGTTTCCATAGTTACTGGGCTTTTTATTTATTTTTGTGGGGTAACTGATGTTGTCATGGCAATTGTCATATTGTCAGGCCAGTTTTCATCTCTCAGTGGATGAAGGCTGAGGTTTCTTGGCTGGGATGAAGCACAGCACGCCGGGCCACCGGGCTCAGGGTGACGCCAAGGCACTGGCAGAGAGAGTGGCACCACGTTGAGCTATCCAGGGGATATTTATCTGTGCTGCAGACACAAAACTAGTCATGCCTCCCATTAAGCTTGGGAAATGTGCCAAGGAATTGAAGTGAGGGATCTTCCAGGAGGAATGAAGGCTCAGCAGCCTCTGTCCCAGGAGGAGCAGGCACAGTTTAGCAGTAATGATGAGGAGGGCTGTGTGGGCAGACAAGTGGGGTTATCGTGCCATGGCAGGGCCAGAGGCACAAGGAAAGGGTGTAAAGTGGGTGTGGATCTGCATGCAGATCCCTCCACTGGCTCATCCAGCACTGCTCTGCCACACACAGACATCCCGAGCCAGAGGCTGCATCCAAGTCGTCATCCTTAATGACCCTTGATGGACTTTTCTGCCATGGTTTTATCTAATTGCTTTTTGATTATTGCTGTAGTATGATGGATTCTGGTGTGAGGCTTAAGACAGTGGCTGCCAGGGTAGGAAAACATTATGGTTTGGCTGATGGTGTATTTACTTGTAAGAGGTCTGATCAAGAGGTCTGTGTGGTGGGAATCCCTCATTAATCTCAGGATTAAGCTGGGTGCTGAAAGCTGGATCCTATGCAGAGCTGGAGTCCTGAGCTGAGGCTGAGCTGTCATTTGTGGGGCAGGTGATGCCTCAGTGCTACAAGGCAGATCCTGGGGAGATGCCTGGAGGATCCTGATGTGGCCACATCCAGGATATCCCCCATGATCTGCCCGTTTAACCTCCGTGGCCTCCCTGGAAGAGGAACAATTGCAGTCACTTGTCTCACAGAACTGCAGGAGGATAAACACATTCCAGACGTGAGGCACTCAGAGGCAGCAGTAATCACAGCTCGTATCTGCACTTAAGATAGATGAGACACGGTGGCCTGATGTGGCAGAGGTCTCATGAGATCATCTGTCTATACATCAGCAGCAAACCAGCAAAGGGACTCTGGGAGAAGTCTGGTATATTTGGGTATATTGATTCTCCCTGGCTCTTGGCAAGGCTTAAAACAAGAGGACAAACATCTGCAAAAATTATCCAGCTTGGAGAGGTGCTTGTCCCTGGGAAGGGGAGGCATCCTCCCGTCTCAGAGGTTTGTCCATCAAGCACATTGTCTGCCATCTTCATCCTCCCTGGAAAGGAGGCAGAGGATATTTATAGGTTGGGCATCAGATCTGGAGCTCAGCTGGAAGGCACAGGGACAAGGGAGATCCTCTTG